ACATCGACTGAGATAAATAATAAAATGAAATATTAAAAACACGATGTATCTCGCTGCATTGCGCGAGTACGCTTCTAGTATATATATATATATGTATATGTATAAACATTGTACTGTTGTTCGCGTTTTATATATGTGTATAAAAATTGATAATGAAAAAGAAAAGGACGAGTGCTATAATATGATAAATATGTTGAAGAAGCCTTTATGGTCTTATAAAAAAGATGTCGAAAATAATATACCAATGCGAAGGTATTGTTTTCGATCTCTTTATCTATACTATATTATAAAGCATTTGACAAAAACTCTTAAAAACTACTTTTTATACGTAAAGTACTGTTTATTAATGCATATTACTTAAAACTCAAAATTTCAAGTACATTATGCGTAAGTACAGCCTCATATCTGAATTCGTGTAACTAATTGCAGATAAACATAATCAAATACAGGATAAACATCTCATTTTAATATATAAAAAATCTAAAATATAATTAGGATAATCATTAAGTTATAACAAAATACTTAATTATTATCTTTATAAAATTATTAAACCGAAAATAAAATATTTCGTTATTAAACTTAAATTAAATTATAATAAAAAAATAAATTAAAGAAATTACATAAAAAAACGTGAACTTTTAAATAGTTGATTCGATATTAACATTGATATATTTTTTTCCAAATTTTAATGATATCTTTAAATTTATATTTTATTTAAAAATAAAATCATTATTGTTTTATTAAAAACACATAAAATCGTATTATAACATTGACATAGACAAATAATAAAATAGAACATTAAAATCAAGATATATTTCGTTGCATTGTGCGAGTACTATTCTAGTACAAATTAAAATATATGGGTAATAATTTAAAAAGCCCACCGAAGAACAACATTAGAAGTACCAATAACAAATCAAAAAACCAAAAAAACATATCAAAACGAGGGAGACCGATTGTAATGATCAACAGTGATGAAGAGCATACGATGATAGAGCCGCTTAGAGGGAGATATGAGGTTGAGTGAGAAGGGTTTGAATTGCGTCATAGGATTTGTTAATGGTAAATTTAATTAATTAATTTATTAAAAAAATTGGGAAATTAATTTTAACTTTAAATTATTCATATTTTTTCTAGATAATTATTCATAAGAATATTGTTGAGTATGTTAAAAAAAAATTCTTTATTTCTGTTGGAATTTATAAAAACTCCAAATTAAAAGAATTTTAATTTTGATTAAAAATAGAAAGTCTTTAAACCTCGTATTTATGTTTTCGTGTTTCTTTCCATGGAGCCTACAAGTCAAGGAAAAGGGAAAAAATTTCTAGCTCAAGTCAAGAGAATGATTCTTTGTAGCCCAGAGGTAATTAAATCATTCCACACACAAAATTAAATCCAAATAAATAGTTCAACCGAAAATCGACGTCATCGAACTTATATCAGATCGTAGGTTCGAAGATCTACGCAACAGTCGATTTGGAAAAAGCTCGAGTTGCGAGGACCAGAATGATCGAAAACGAACCATCAAATCCTCGTTGGTACGAATCTTTTCATATATATTGTGCACACAGTCTTTCCAACATTATATTCACGGTCAAAGACGATAATCCTGTGGGCGCGATTCTGATCGGCCGAGCATACCTCCCGGTGGAAGAGGTTGTTAACGGGTACGAAGTCGATCGATCGCTCGAGATTCTAGACGAAGATCGTAACCCGATACGAGGGCATTCGAGGATTCACGTGAAGTTGCAATATGTTAGTGTGGCAAGAGATAGCCATTGGTCACAAGGGATTAAAAGTGTTACATTTGGAGGGATACCGTACACGTTTTTTCGGCAGAGGGAAGGTTGTGAAGTGACGTTATACCCCGATGCACATATACTCGATGATAACATGACGTCTTATCTAGTTTCTAATGGGTATTATGCGCCCCAAAGATGTTGGGAGGATGTTTTCGATGCGATTAATGATGCAAAGCATTTGATTTATATAACGGGATGGTCGGTTTACACAAAGATCGTGTTGGTTCGGGACCCACGGAGGCCGAAGCCCGGTGGGGACGTTACGTTGGGTGAGTTATTGAAGCGGAAAGCCAGTGAAGGGGTGAACGTGTTAATGCTCGTTTGGGATGATCGAACTTCGGTCGAGTTGCTAAAGAAAGACGGGTTAATGGCGACACACGATCAAGAATCGGGAGATTATTTTCGTGATACAAAGGTCCGTTATGTTTTATGCCCTCGTGATCCAGACGGGAATAATAGTTATGTTCAGGGGATTCAGGTCGCTACGATGTTCACTCACCATCAGAAGACGATTGTGGTCGATAGTGAGATTCCGGGAGAACCATCGTCGGAAATGAGGCGGATTGTCGGGTTTGTTGGTGGGATTGATCTTTGCGATGGGCGATATGATTCTCGTGATCATTCTTTGTTTCAAACATTAAAAGATGTTCACCATGACGATTTTCACCAACCGAACTTCTCGGGAGCGTCGATCACAAGAGGTGGGCCGAGAGAGCCGTGGCATGACGTACATTGCAAACTCGAAGGCCCGATTGCTTGGGATATTTTGTACAATTTCGAACAACGGTGGACTAAACAAGTCGGAACTCAACATCTTTTTACGCTCGCCGAGCTCGATCAATTCATAACTCAACCCTCGCCAGTCGGTCCATCGTCTGAAGATCGTGATACATGGAACGTCCAATTATTCCGGTCAATTGACAGTGGTGCGGCATCAGGGTTTCCAGAAAAACCCGAGGAAGCATCGATGGCTGGGCTCGTTACTGGAAAAGATAAAGTGATTGATCGTAGCATTCAAGATGCGTATATTAGCGCCATACGACGTGCAAAAAACTTCATCTACATCGAAAACCAGTACTTTTTGGGGAGTTCATATGGTTGGAACCCGAGCAAAGATTTCAAAATCGAGGATATCGGGGCTTTGCATCTCATACCAAAGGAGCTCGTGTTAAAAATCATTAGTAAAATCAAGGCGAAAGAAAGATTTTCCGTCTACATAGTGATCCCAATGTGGCCTGAAGGGATCCCGGAAAGTGGATCCGTTCAAGCCATTCTAGATTGGCAAAGAAGAACAATGGAGATGATGTATAAAGACATCACCTCCGAGCTTCTAGCCATGGGGATCGAAGCAGATCCGAGGGACTACTTGAGCTTCTTTTGCCTCGGGAACCGTGAGACCAAGACACCCGACGAGTATGAACCACCGGAGAAACCCGAGCCGGATTCTGATTATGGTAGAGCACAAGAATCTCGACGATTTATGATCTATGTTCATGCTAAAATGATGATCGGTAAGTAGTACATTATCTTTTTTTTTTCTTATAAAAAACGATTTAAATCCACTTGAATTAACCACATTTTACATAGAGAGGCTAGGATTTACTGGTAACCCAGATGGCGTTGAGTCAATTTAACCTTTTGTTTGTTTTAACCATTTTGCTTTGTAGTTGATGACGAATACATAATCATCGGTTCGGCTAACATCAACCAAAGATCGATGGACGGGGCTAGAGACACCGAGATCGCAATGGGTGCGTACCAACCAAAACACATAGTGACACAATGGCCAGCTCGTGGTGTGATCTTCGGCTTCCGGATAGCATTGTGGTTGGAACATTTGTCTTATGTTCACGATTCTTTTCGTCATCCAGAAAGCATAGAGTGCATTAGAAAGGTCAACGCATTAGCAGATGAGAACTGGAGTTTGTATTCGAGTCCAACGTTTGTTCAAGACCTTCCGGGGCATTTACTTCGGTATCCTGTGGCGATCTCAAACGTCGGAGACATTACGGCTTTACCGGATTTCTCTTTCTTCCCAGACACCAAGGCTCCGGTTTTGGGGTCGAGATCGGAGTATCTTCCTCCGATTCTCACCACTTGAAGTCGCTCATTGTAACACGATATCACCAATTTATACAATTTAAAGAATCATTTATATTACTTTTAAATTTCAAAATAAAAGTTTTATAAGTTGGTTTCAATTTAATACAAATTTTTCATGAAATTTGATCGTTAAGATCTAAACTTGAACTATAAAATATTGTTCAAGACATATTGCGGGAAAGATATTTTGCGACTTTACCATGCCTGTAAGACAAGTTAAATAAAAACTCACCTGAAGATTCTAATACTTCTAGTAAGTTTCGGTTACATTGGATTATTAATATATAGTTAAACTGTAAATAATTAAAATGATAACAAAATAAATATTATAAATTAAGATTAAAAAAATACTGATTATTCAAACAATTAATAAAAACAATCACTACAGTAAATAAATATAAATATTTTTATTTTAAGATATTTGATTTGTGATGGGATATATAAAATATTGGAAAATTTGTTAAAATAACCATTTTTACGAGTTGGTTTTACATCTTAGCCATTTTTTTACAAGGTTTACCAAAATAGCCCTACGTCTGTATTTTTTTTTTGCGAATTGGATGAAAAGTGTAAATCTTTTTGTAGACCTCACTGCAAAATGTAATTTTTTTTTTGTCTTTTAGTTGGGTCCACAATTGCGGACGTGAATATTATGGACCTATGACTATTTTTGTAAACTTGGAGAGAAAAATCATAAGAGGTGAAAACAACCTTGAAAATTGGTTATTTTAATAAATTTTCTTAAAATATTTTCTAATAAAAAATTCAAAACCTGTGAATCAAATTAAATTCTAGAGGATATTACATTTCAGGTCCCTATAGTTTGTTTAGAGGATGATTAGTCTTTTATAACGGTTACTAAATAACGTCGTTAAATAGAAAAACCATGGATTTTACAAAAATAAAAAGTCAAAAACTACAGATATAGATAGTTAAAAGTACAAAAATCAATAAAACCACAATTACAAACAGAGTGGTTCACTCTATAACTTATTTTAAAGTTTCAATAAATGCATTGATGGTAGTTAGATATACCTATTTATTTTATCATCGTGGATAATTGTCACGAGTTAATGTCTAAGTTGACCATTTAATTTTCCAAAAACAATTCACAACAAAATACTATAAAAATTTATAAAATAACGAACTTTATAATAAAAGTATTATAAATATTAAAAAACCATTTACTAAATACTTATACGGATAAATGTTTATAAAATCATATTACTTTATCGGATGAATAATGCAAAAAACAAGAATCTTACCTGATAATAACGAAACAAGAACATAGAGTCTTACCCGTTAAGTGAGAAATGACGATTCTTACCACGGTTAGTGTTTTACATAAGATGCAATTTTTGTTGACTAAAATCTTACCCGGTAAGTAAGCAATAATATTGGATTTTACCGATAAACGCTTATCGGTTAAGTGTTTGGTAAACGATCACTTACCTTGTTAAGATTTTTTACAAAAATTTAATATTAATTTATAAATCTACACATCCCGTCTTAAGAATTGTATAAAACATATGAATGTCTTCGTCTTGATTTTGGCAAAGGTCAGTGATTGGAAGTCCACATGCACAAGCGTTCACATTTATGGGGATGCCTGCTATTAATATTATTTTATTTTTATTTTTATTTAATATTATTATGTTCGGTAGAAAATGTTTTTTCAACTGTTCGAAATTATTCATTTTCTAATAATTGATTTGTTCCGATCCAATTCAATAAATTAGATCTCCATTTTATAAATTATTTAAATTATAACGTTTTATTCTTTTGGATTTTAAAACAAATGATTATACCATAATAAGAATTAAGGTGGGGACTGTAAGAGTTAAGAGGAGAAGCGTAAGAAGTGATTTGGATCATTTATCATTTTCCGTTTCATCTACACCTTATGAATTGTGTTTCTCACGGGAATTGATCTCGTACATCTCGGTATATCTCATTAGTGTCGATCTTCAATTGATCTAAATGTGGAGATCACTTCTTATCTTTCTCAACATAATTCTCCTTTTCATTGGAACCCAGCCCTGGATTTTAAACTGTTATCTAACAATTGGATTTTAAACTGTTATCTAACAATTGATCAATTCAGTTTTAATATTGAGATTTTGAATTTGAACTAATCAAACTATAACTGAATATCTAAATTTGATATGCTACAGTTGATAATTGGTTCAGATGACTTGTTACACAACCTATACACACACATCGTTTTAAAGTCATATGAAACTCAAGAAAACGAGAAGTTTTAATATCATATGATCATATTTTTTTGGGTGTGTTAATCATATATGATTGCAACTTTAAACCATTAGATCATTAGCTTATAAAGTTGATCAATGAACATAGATTAGTCTTACGGGTCTCACGAAAAACCCTTGGTCTCACATGAACCCAACCCTATATATATATATATATATATATATATATATATATATAATGATATCTTCAAATTTATATTGTTTGTTCAAAACTACATAAATTCGTATTATAACATGAACAAAGACTAAAAATAAAATAAAATATTAAAATCAAAATATATCTTATTGTATTGCGCGAATACCTTTTTAGTATTATATAAAAGCATACAGTTTTTTGTATTTACTTGTTTAATATTCTTAACTAATCAATTTTTTATCTAAGACCAAATAAAAGAAGTCAATTATTATTCAAATGCAGTAACAGAATTTGATTGGTCGACTTTAAAATAATAGTGGCGTGTTTTGAATGCATTGCTTAACAAACCAAAAGAAACCAAATTTTATGGTCAACTTTACTTTCAATCTAGATTACTTGCGTTTTTTTTCCCCCTTATTAAGATGGATATCTAACACGTTTTGCAAGATAATTAATCACAGGATGACCATCTGTTTTATGAATAGTTTGGAATCATTGTATTTGAACTTTTGTGGTCACAGGAGGATTCTTATTCCTCCTTGAATTTGAATCTGAGATTTACAGACACTTAATATCTAGAGTTTAAATCAATCAGACATCACTCTTATAGTTTAGATTACATACATTTGGTGTTATAAAAAAATTAAAATAATATTTATACTCATTAAAACTTAATTTACCACTAGATTTTAGAATCACAGTTTTATATTCGAATAGCTCTACATACTTCTTTTTCTCCATGGTTATACTTATCATTTAGCGAAGCGCCTCGCTATGAGAATCTAGCTTCGCTAACGTTCGGCTAAGTCTTGAACCTTCGCGCTGACCGTTCGCTTTCTCAGTAGCAAGCCGCTTCTCTTTGCCCCTTAAGTAGAAGGACTGTTTGTCCCTAATAATTAATTCTCGCTGACCACGTCTTATCTGAATCCCGACGATCAAATTCTTGGTGGGAATCATCAACTTTATAATGTTTTTGGTGTTTATTAGTTGTGGTATACAATCGGTTTACGAACTAATGGAGATCTTTATACTGGCTGTTATCTCAAACCGGCATTCGAGCCCACAAAGCCTAGCCATATCGCTATTGTGCTATTCTCCCTGTCTTTTTTGGGCATTTCTAATAATATCAAGTCTTATTCCTATTTTGGTAAACATTTTAGGGCCCCTATTTTATCTCCCTTGGACGAAAAAAATGAGTAATTATTAGTTATATATATACATACGTGTGTGTGTGAGAGAGAGAGTTATTATGCAATTATTTATATTTGTACAACTAATACAACTCAATCTCAACCGTTCATTTACTTTGATGAATATGTGATTTCATAAATTTTTTGATTGTTTCATAATATAAAGTATTGATCATAATTAATGAATTTTAGTCATCTTCCATAAGTATTCAAATCATAATATATGAGTTCTCATCATTTTCATAAGTATCTCAATTATTTGGGTTACATTGGTTGTACAAATGGACATGCCCTATGTAGGGTATATTTCAAATGCAACCATGTCCATTTGTACAACCAATGCAACTTAATTAATTGAGATATTTATGGAAATGATAATAGTTCATTTATTATGATTTGAATACTTATGTAAGATGACTAGATTTCATTAATTATGATCAATACTTTATATTATGAAACAATCAAAACTATTATGAAATCACATATTCATCAAATTAAATGGACGGTTGAATTGTATTGGTTGTATAAATGTAAATAATTGCATAATAACTTACATCTATCTCTCTCTCTCTCTCTCACACACACACACTCTCTCTCTCTCTCTCTCTATATATATATATATATATATATTATTTTTTAAATGAGTAATTATTAACTTTATTATTTTGATAACCATATTTTGTTTCTAAACGGTCATGTACCAAATACTTATCAGACAAGACTTATCAAATCAGATTATCTTACCTTATGAGATAAACATGGTTATGATGACCAAGAGTTTTAAAACATCTTCAACAAATTCTCTAAAATGAAGATTCAAAAGTTAAATTATTAAAGAAAATATATATATATATATATATNATATTTATGGAAATGATAATAGTTCATTTATTATGATTTGAATACTTATGTAAGATGACTAGATTTCATTAATTATGATCAATACTTTATATTATAAAACAATCAAAACTTTTATGAAATCACATATTCATCAAATTAAATGGACGGTTGAGATTGAGTTGTACAAATGTAAAGGGTTGTATAACTATATATATATATATATATATATATATATATATCTTCAATGACGTCTCTATTTTGGTGATTGAATTATATTATTAAAATATTATATATCTTTCCTTGGTAGGAAAAATAAAATTATCTCTCTTTCATCGGATAATCATTTTTAGAGAGTTCTCAAAATTTGGAGAATTTCACTCTCGTTTGTCTCCTATTTTCTTCATTTGGGGAATCCCTTGGATCAAAAAATCCACAAAATCTTCATTTTAGATAATATGTTGGAGATGCTCTTACTCGGTAAAAGTGATGGCAAGAATCAAAAGTTTTATCTGGTAAGTGAGAGTAATGACTTTTACCTGGTTAGGATTTATCGTGTAATTTGTTGAATACAATGCTATTTTGATGGACACAAATTTTACTCAATGCAAAAAAGGAAGACCATCTCCAAATTCTCTAAAATAAAGATTTTCAAGATTTTTATTTCTAACAGATTCTCCAAAACCTGTTCCAACATATTTTTTAAAATAAAGAATTAAAAATCAAAATCTTATATCAAATTTAAATAAACAATAGCTTTTTATTTTGAAGATTATACCACGAATAATATTATTAAAATATTTTAAAAGATTTCATAATATATGATTTTTATTTTATTTTATACATTTAACATTAAAGATTCTAATTAATAAGAAGAATAAAAAATAATTTATGATTTATAGATAATTACTTCTAATTTTTTTTTAAATTTAATGAATTTCATTTATCTATACTATATCATAAAATATTTGATAAAAACTCTTAAAATCATTTTTATGCATTAATTAATGTTTGTTGATGCATGTTACTTAAAATTCAAAATTACAAATAAATTATGCATAAGTACAACTTATTAAAGTTCTATGTTTGAATTCGTGTAACTAATTACGGATAAACATAATCAAATAGAGGATAAACATCTCATTTTAAAATATAAAAAATCTAAAATATAATTAGGATAATTATCGAGTTCTAACAAAATAATTAATTATTATCTTTATAAGAAACTTATATTATTAAACCAAATATAAGTTACTTTGTTATTGAATCTAAATTAAATCATAATAAAAAATTTGAATTAAAAAATTACACAAAAAATAGGAATTTTAAATAGTTAATTTGATACTAATATCGATATATTTTTGTCAAATTTTATGATATTTTTAAATTTAAAATTTATTCAAAAATAAAAACATCATCGTTTTTTCAAAATCACATAAGAACATATTATAACATCGACTGAGATAAAGAATAAAACAAAATATTAAAATCAAAATGTATCTCGTTGCTTTGTACGAGTAACCTTCTATTATCTTTAAACTGTTTTTATTTTTAATTTAAAAAAAAAGACTTATTAAAACAAAGTTTTTTTAAAATATTTATACTATATTATAAATCATTTGACAAAAACTCTTAAAAACCATTTTTCATACATGAATTACTGTTTATTGATGTATATTATTTAAAATTCAAGATTACATATAAATTGTGCATAAGTACTTGGACGAAAAAAATGAGTAATTATTAGTTATA